ACGAGGACTACATCGCGCACCTTGAGCTTCCGGGTCGAGACATGCTGGTCATGTTGACCTACGACCGGATCATCCTCGTGCGCACGAAGAAGCTCCGCACGGAATGGGATATGCGCCTGAAGGACATCCAGACCATTTCCAAAGAGCGGACTGGAATGAGCATAACTCTCAAGGGTGGTGCTAATGGTCCATTCATCCCGGTTCAGGACGAGAGTTCGCGGAACTGGCTCTATCGGCAAATTGCTGTTGGTAAGTGATGATCTGAGGTGTGTTTGCTACGTACAGGGCTGATTCCGATGTAGCTGTGAACGCTTTCAATGAGAAGTACAATGCCCGTGGGTAGACTCGACTGGCTGTGAGAGCCCACTGGGGTAATTGTAATGGAGGACAGAAGCTGTGTGTTGGAGACTGATAATTACCTGTTTATGGTGGGGCAGAGTGGATACAATTTGCTCCAAGCTGGATCTCATCTTAGTCGAGATCTTTTGGAGTAGTGAAGCCAGCGATATGACCCTGCAATTGAAGTCTGAAATGGATGACGTGTTGATGTTTTGGTTTTTCTGCTCTTGCAATTAAAGCGACTGTACATATTCATATTCTTTTTTCTTTTTTTTTCCTTTCCCCCCCCCCGTATCTTTCACGTTCGCTTGACTGAGACTTTTCCTTTGACCATGCGCTAGTTGCAAGCTCCCTTTTTTAATGCATCTTTCTTTACGAGCGGTATTGAATTGATGATCCCTACCCTACCGATTAGGAAGGTAGATTGAAAGAGGAGAAACTCAGGTTAGCTTCATGTTACCTCAATGTTACCATCGATAGAAACTCTGTGCTGTGGATCCTGTACTCCACCGTGGTGAACGTTTAGCTATCAAAAACAAGTCGATAAGACAGTTCTCGTCAAAAGTTACCTCAATTGGTTAAGATTTTCCAGGACGACTTAGGATACGAAGCTGTGATTTTGGTAGCGACTCTAGCGAGCCAGCAGGCTAGAGATGGATCCATCTCCATCTAGAATTCTAGACTGGTACATGACAGGTACGTCCACTGATACTTGGCTGTCATATACTTCCGGTGTCTCTTACCAGATCTCTTACCAGTACCATGCATGTCGTACAAGGTTCAACCTTGTGTGACGGTAATTGATTGATGGACTGACTGACTGACTGACTTGATACAGACTTCTCCTGGACATGCTAACACCTGCACCATACCATGCAGTCACAGCGTCATTGATGTAGGATGGCGACAGCAACCATCTTTCACCGCAGACAATTCTCGCTGTTCTTCCTTTGGGTCTGGTAAGTTTCAGTTCTGGGAGGGGCACCGGACTCCCTGACCAACTTCATCTCCGACGCTGAAAAGCTGCTAACCCCGTCGTGGCTGAAACTTTTCCAGTTTGGTGCATCTGGCAGGCCTCTACTTTTTCACCAAAGGTTTTCTGCTGACCCGCCAGATCCTGGAGGCCAAAAGCACCTGCGATGAGTCTCCGAGAGCTCTCTGGCCTCCCGCCCACAGAGATGTTGGTGGTTGTTGGCTCCGGCCAACCTTCAAGAAAGCTGTCATTCTGATCATTGACGCGCTGCGCTACGACTTCACCATCCCCTACTCTCCTTCCATCCAAGCAGCGGAAGAAAAGCCATACCATCATGCCCTCACCGTCCTGCACACCCTCGCAAGCGAGAGACCGCGCAACGCCCTCCTCCTCCCCTTTCTCGCTGACCCCCCGACCACCACCCTCCAACGCCTCAAAGCTCTGACCACAGGCACTCTCCCGACCTTCATCGAAGCCGGCTCCAACTTCGCTGGTTCTGCCCTCACTGAAGACAACCTTCTCGACCAGCTCCTCTCGGTTCCCTCATCGTCCTCTCCCTCATCCAGTACCCCGCGAACCAATCCACACTCCGATCACAATCCTAAGCAACGGCGTCTCGTCCACCTCGGCGACGACACCTGGCTCAAACTCTACCCGGACCATTTCCTCCCACACCTCTCCCACCCCTTCCCCTCCTTCGTCGTCGAAGACCTCCACACCGTCGACACCGGCGTCACCACCCACCTGCTTCCCCTCCTGCGCAATGACACCCTCCGCTGCGAATGGGACGTGATCATCGGCCACTTTCTGGGGGTCGACCACGTCGGCCACCGGTTCGGGGCCGCGCATCCGCTCATGCGGAATAAACTCCAGCAGATGGATGCGGTGGTGCGCGAGGTGGTGACGGCTCTAGACGATGCTGACGAGGAGACCCTTTTGGTCGTCATGGGGGACCATGGGATGGATGAGAATGGCAATCATGGCGGGGAGACACTGGAGGAGGTTCTAGCTGCTGTGTGGTTATATTCACCTCGGACGTTTGTGGGGAGAAGGGTCAGTGATGGTGGTGATCACCATCATCACAATGGTGAGGAGGGAGCAGCGGTGCCCCAGGTGGATATCGTTTCGACGCTGGCGCTGCTGCTTGGGGTGCCGATTCCGTTCAATAACCTTGGGAGGCCTATTGAAGAGGTGTTTGCTTTCGGCTCCGGAGGATGCGATAAACAGGAAGAGAAGATAGATTGGGAACGGTTGGTGAGAGCGAATGCGCTAGCTGCTGCACAGATGGAGCGGTTTCACGCCGAGTACACGAGGCTTTATGGGAGTCATAGGGGTGGTGTTGAGGTCCGCATTGAAAGTTTTGTTCAGGGTGATATAGATTTCGGGGACGAGGGCTCGTTGCAGCGGGCTTATCGGGGGTTGAGGGAATACCAGGCGGAGATGTTGAGGGGATACCGGCGGGTTTGGGCGCAGTTCAACGTCTTGAATATGGTCGAGGGGATGGTGATTCTGCTGCTGTGTGTTGTTGCAATGGTCTGCGCTCTCGTTGATGGGTCTTGCTTCGGTGGGCCGGGAATCAAGTCGAAGGCGACAATGGCTGGGAGCGTGGTGGGTGTTTTGGCTGCAGCGGCTCACTTCGTCTATGCAGACCCTGCATATCACGTCGTCGAGAGTCTCATCTTAGGCGCTACCATAGCCAGTCTGACCGGTTTGATCGCCGGGGCTGACTGCAATGCTGTGCGCCGGTGCTGGCAACCCAAATTCAACATTGGGAAGCTGCAGGCCATGTTGTTTCCGCTGGCTCTCGCGGCTGGCTTCGCATCAAACTCGTACACCATCTGGGAAGATGAGATCCTGCTGTTCTTCCTCTCCAGCTTCGGGATCTGCACATTGGCCTCTGCCACCCACCCAACCTCTTCCGTCGTGTTCCTGCTGCTAACCCGCCTCGCCTCCTATAGCCGCCTGTGTCGAGAAGAACAACTGCCCTCGTGCCGGACCACCTTCTACCCACTCGAGAACTATGTCCCCTGGCGTATCCTCGCCCCATTTCTGACTGTCTTCGTTATACTTTCGGCAAACAGACACTTGAGAGATAGATTCAAGCACACATGGAACACACCTTACATTGCTGCACTCTTTCTCCACATTCCGTTCTGGACACTTCAGACAGCCAGCGAGCAGGGCTGGCTCTCCAACATCATCACAGACTACACCTCCAAGACTATATGCATAGTGATCGCTCGAATCGTGCTGCTCGCCAGTATACTTGGCCTTGGATCCGTCTTGCTGTCCTCTCATCACTACGATAAACCACACATTCTCACCACTGCCATCTTGCTAGTATGTATCCTGGTGAGTCCCCCCACCAGCGGTGTTCTGCTTGCATGCCTCTACTCCCAACTCCTCCTGCTCCCACGCACTACAAGCCACCGAGTCGGACCCACCATCGCCGCTCTCCTGGGCTCATTCTACTTCTTCACGACCGGCCACAACGCCACCTTTGCCTCCATCCAGTGGAAAGCCGCGTACACTGGCTTTCGGGACGTGGTGTATCCATGGTCCCCGCTGCTGGTCGGGGTGAACACGTTCGCGGGGCCGATTCTGGCTGCGTGCGCTGTTCCTTTCTTCTTCACCCCGGTTGGCGCGTCTCCTTCGCGAGAGAGCACGGCAGCCCGCGCCCAGATGATCCTCGCACATGGTACCGCTTACACCCTCTGGGCCGCCGCCACGGCCATCTGGGCGTGTCTTCTCCGACGACATCTGATGTTGTTCGCCATCTTTTGCCCGCGGTTCCTACTGGCGGGGACGGTGATGGTGATTGTGGATGTGATTGGGTTAGTGAACTCGTTTAGAATGTAGATAGCCAGTAGTCAGCCTAAGAAAGGGCTCAACTCGAGAAGTGATTGCGCAATTTCTTCCTTGGTAGGTTAGGCTATATATAATGAATGACAGTAGTTGGAGATTCCATGATCCTTCAGTTGACGTCAACAATGATAGACCCTCTGTCCCCCCTGCCCTTCACCGGCCACAACCTCCCCTGCGTTGTTCCAGTGAGACGTTCTCCTCCGAACCTCAACCTCAACCTCCACCCTCTCACCCAATCCCCAATCTTCTCCCTCCCTCCCAGCAAGCGGCACCGCAATGCAATCACTGGCAGTAATGCACCCAACAAGCCTAGTCGTCAACCCCCGCAACCACCACAAGGGGTGGTACTCGCGAGAGAAATCATCAGCATATCTTTCACCTTCATAACACCTCCTCCCCCTACACCCCCCACACCCCCCAACCCAACCCCCCAAACAACCCCGGATGAAAAACGAAAAACCTACATGATAACACCGCTGCCCCCCATGGTTCCGATGACAATTGTTCATGCACTGGTCATACCCGCGCCGACACCGCTGGGTGTTGGCCTCGTCCGCGGGTGCCGGGGCCGGCGCATCGTCGACCACCACCGCCGCAGCAGCATCAGCCGTATCCGCTTCGGCGTCGGCGTCGGCGGTCGGCGCCGCGAGCGCCAGCGAGGTGAGCAGGAGGGTGAGGGGGATGATGAACCGCATTCTGCCTTGTGTTTTTGGGGGTGAGGGTTTGGAAAGATATAGCTAAGGGGTTTGGGGTTTGTGTTGGTTGTTGTTGTTTGGTTTGTGGGCGAGAGGGAGTGATGAGGTGGTGGTGATGCTGGTGGTATTTATGTTGTTGCTTTGTGTAGCTTTCGCTTTTCGCTTTCGCTTTCGCTTTCGCTCTCTTGGAGCTTGGTGGTGTTTGTGGATGGGGAGTGGAGTGGATGGTGTCCATTTTGCGCCGAGTTGCGCGTGTCTATCTTCTGACCTGACCTGACCTGACCTTTGGTGGGGATGCGGTGCGATGCGGTGCTGATGCGATGCTGATGTTGATGGAAGTGGGATACGTTCCGATGGTGATACAATTCTCAGGGTCATCATTGGGGTTGTCTTCTCTGTCTTCGGAGAGAGGGAGAGGGAGAGAGAGAAAAATGGCATGGGTACTGGGTGGACATGGTGTTCCTATGTCGGGGTTGGTGGAGTTGGTAACGTTGACTTTGTGGGGGCCGTTTGGCTTTTTTGTGGTTTGTGCGATGGTGATGGGGGTTTGAAACTTTGGAGATGGGCTGGGCTCCGGTGGGTATTAGCTGGATAGGTACGGGACAATGTGTTGATGGGCTGTTAGGGTTAAGGGTGGGTGATATTGATGCTTGTGAGGGGAACGAGGACGAGGGTTAAGGGTAAGCTTACTTCCTTTGCCTTTGCGTGGTGTGGTGCTTGGGGCTGTAGTTCTGTTGACTTGTTGTTGATATTGATGATAGATATGATTGATCCGAGGAAGGTCTAGGAGATAGACCTCGCGGTCCAGAGACAGGGCAATCCAGTGAGATGAAAGGCACAGTATCTATACTATCTATATCCACATTCATCTCCTGGTATCAACATCTTCATTGTGGGTATGGGAAGAGTCCACACCTACAGTTCAGCGACAACAACAACAACCACCACCACCAACCCACTACAAAGTCTCGGAAGATATCCACCCCATCCCTCCCATCCCATCACTGATCTCGAGATCAAACCTCAAACTTCCAAACCATGAGGCTCGTGGAACAATCCCGCAGAAAACCCCCCTCACTACCACCACCACCGTCTCTCAGGGCCCAGGGCCCAGGGGTTCTTTTCTGCGTGATTCGACAACTTCTACCCCAGGGTCTGCGTAACCCCCGAATCATCAACCCGCCCCTCTTTGTGCAACAGTAAGCGGGAGTGAGATGCCGGAAGGGGAGTCACCATCCTCTAGTGAGGAAGTCAGGAGACCGTAGGTAGTTCTTGAACCTTCGCGCAAAGTCAATGTCGATGTCAGGGGTCGGTCTTCTTGAGTGTAGTGTAGGTAGTGTTCACTTACCTACTACTCGGTTTGAATTGAGTTTTCTCCTCGCTGGGTGAGATTCTTCGTGCACTTCGGATCTCGTGGGGTATAGTATACTCAGTAACGTACTGTACTTCAGAGAAAGTAGCGCATGTCACCGCAAGCCATCTCTATCCTCTGTAAACTCAGTACCTGGGGACATTCCAATTGGGAAAATGGTGGCCCTTGTTCTCCGCGGAGAAAGACGAACTGTGAGTTGAGATGGCGGCGGAATAGAGTCGAGTCGGTGGCGGGACGTGAAAGTCAGAATACCCCAAACGCCAAACTCCAGGTCTGGGGTCACAAAAAGTGTCAAGTTCAAATCGAGCCAGAAATGATGGATCAGATGAGGCGCGCGGGGGCGGGCGTTGTGGGCGCTGTGGGCGTCATACTTGGGGTTTTTGGCCTTTTGCCTTTTTGGGGAGGAAGTATGTACAGTACTGTATTCCAGGGCAGTTGCTGTTGGAATTGTTGATGATGGCTGTTTTGTTGGTGGTGAGGGGGATGGTCGGTTTAGGGGTGCACAGGAGGCAAAATATTCGAGTGTTGGATTGGCAGTAGGATCTGAAACCCTTTTCCCTGTCTTTTGGTTCACTCTGTGCTGTTTCTACACTCAGCTGTGATTACTGAGTACTTGGCAACAGACAGGGTTGCGGGGAAACGGTACATTGGGAGATGCTTTAGAGGTACTCGATACATGCTGAGCACAAGAAAGAGGCAGAGACGGACAGATTCAAGCGTCACACAACAGCTGTTCGCAGAGCAATTCACCCAGTCGTGCTGCTGCTGCTGCTGCTGCTGCTGCTGCCGACAGACAAGGGGGCAGGCAACAACGGGAATGGTATGATGCATGGTACTTTTCTCTTCTCGCCCATCGCCATAGCATCGATCATTATTACATCCTGTACGGAGTCTGTACATATCAGCACCTCAACCCAATTTCCCCATCATGGAGGTCTTCAGGCAGCTAGCAGCAGCAGCAGCAGCAGCATCTTCTCCGATCGCCTCGATGGGATTAGGCAAACATGGATCATGACCATACTGCGACAGGAGGATACTGTATGATCGGAGGTCTCCAATCCAATTTGCTTATTTTGGGGCTTGGATGGTGAGAGCGGGGAAAAGGGAGGAGGAAGAGTATACTTAGGTACAGTACAGTGCATGCACGCACGCACTGTGCAAGGATGGCGGATATGAGTGAGACATTGACATACGACATGTAACATCTCCGTCTCCATCGCCCATGTACAGTACAGATAGACGACGGAGGTAGTCCGCACTTGAACTATCAGAAGAGTTGGTAGGTAGTAGTCACCCAGTAGATTGATTCCCATCTTTCCCTCTGTACTCTGTCCACAGCCCCGATTGCTTCCAAGCGAGGCGCGAAGTCAGAACAGGCGGGCCCTACCGGGGTCAACAACCTCCTTCCACCCACAAACATCTGCAACGCGACCCCCTTCTTATCACTTCATCACATCTCCTTTGCCTTTGCCTTGCCTTTCTCCTTCTCCCTGACAAACTCAACAATACAGCTCTGCCGTGCCGGAGCAATACACGACTGCGGAAGACTATGGAGGACTAGGGCGATTGATGACCTTTGGCTCGTATATCTCGATCGGGAAGGCTTGGGCCGAGGCTACACTGCTCCTACTCTCGTTGCCTGATTCTCATCACAGCACAACTCCATGGCGGCTTACGGACACCAGGAGGGTAGAAAAGGGTGATGGGACAGCAAACACGGGATGAAATAGATACGTGAGACTGAGGAGAAGGGAGGCTGAGGCTTGATATTGGCGAGGGTCCATGGTCATCGATAGCGACGGAACGCCTTCTACTGACAGCACTCTGCGGCAAACAACACTTGAAAGTCTGCGCCGGTGCGATAGTGATCCGGCTGGGATCGCAATCAATAGGTGGTACGGATATTGGTAGGTATTATTTGTACGTAGCAGTCTGCTCGACAAACTCCATTGTGAATATGGAAGACCGTCCGTAACTCCTGTAGTTCGAAATTGAAATCAGTACGGAGTACGGAGTACTGGAGGGAGATTGGCGAGACGAGAAGTCCAAAACGGCTAGCTTGGTTGGCACTTTTCGACTGACATCTGCGTCATGTTCTTCGGGATCACATGGCGACACCGACCGACCGACTGACAAACTGCCAACACCCCCAAGAGTTTAGTGGAATCCTTAGGCCTCAGAACAGGGCATAAGGCATCAACAGCTTCACCTACAGAGTGAGCTAGTTCAAACACCTCCACCTCCCAATTCCCAACCATGACGAAGAGATTAGCTGTCTCACGAAGTGGAGAAGGAGGAAAAAAACCACCACCACCACCACCACTATCACCACCATCATCGCATCTGCGCCGCATCGCCATCGCTCATCGCCCGATGCGATGCCCATCGGCTGTCCCATCCGTCCACTGTTTCAATTTCCCCGCATCCGTCCCCCCCCCCTCCACAGACGCAACCAAAATTCCCAGACCAATTCGTAACAACAGGTTAGAACACGAGTGGCAGTAGGATGCAAAATACCCAGAACTTTCCCAGAAACTCCCCGAGGTATTGGTCAAGTTTACCTACCCATTTGATTTAACTTACAACCAACTTGGAAGTTAAGCTAACCTTCTCGGCCCAGTCACCCAGACTAACTTCCTCCCTCCCCTCTTTCTCGCGCTCTATCGATTTCCATCAACACGATTCCGGAGTCTAGATGCGTCCCGACACAATCCAAGTATGGCCACTGCCCCAGGAAAAAAGAAATACGAACCGTAGAAGACCCCAGAAACTAAAGAGGGTAGGTAGGTAGGCCTAGAACCTACCTCTGTGCAATGGGGTTGACTTGGGTCTATCTGTCACTTTTGTGTTGTTGATACAGGGTTGCAGTTCCCAGCTCGTAGACCCAGAAGGGGGAGGGAGGAGAGAGGGTGACTAGTGCAGTACAGCTGCTGTAGCTCAAGTTACGTTACTTATCCCGCAATAAATCAAGAGTGCAGTGCAGTGCAGTGCAATAGGGCACACCGCATCACGCTAATGGATGTTGGAATTGGCAACGGTTCAATTTGTGGTGAGGTGAGGTGAGGTGAGGTGCTACGGTTGAGTTGTTGTGGCGGCGGCGGCTGCCCCGGGATACAAGAGGTGCTGCAAGCCTGCGACTAATTCACTGATCGCATGCCTAGATAGCAGCACCAACAGTGACGGAAAGAGGAGGAGGAGGTTACCTAGTAATTCCGTTTGAACATCGGAGAGACGAAGCTAGCCAGTAAACATGGTGGGATTGGTTTAATTAACTATCTACTAGGTAACTTGCATCCTCTGGTCAACTAGCTGGAGTATCCATCCGTATAGTCCAGCGACTAAGAATACTCCCTGCCATAAGCATACTAACTACTAGGTAGTCGTCATCATCCACTTCATCCGTAAACTCTGGAAAACAATGTAACTACTTACTGTAATTACCCTAGTCTATACACTGCGACAATCCCTCTCTCTACCTTACCCATAAACCCATTTTTTAACCTACGTATGATCTCTGATCTTCATTCTTCGGCCCATTCAATCAAGACCCACGAATGAAGTGAAGTGAAGTGAAGTGACTCCCTCCCGTTAGTCTCGGACCGGCCCTCTGCTCTCCCAGAAACCAAACCAAACCAAACCAAACCCACCACCCTCTCCCCTCCCCTTCCCGGCCCCAAAACCAACTCATAAGAAAGGGGTAAAGATCACCACCCCCTCCGGGCCTCAAATCGAATCCTGTTTTCTGGTGCGTCAACTAAACCACGCGGAAACTACATCCCACTGGTTCAGAAGCATTCTTCCCTGAAATGAAATCAGGATTCCCGGGGGGGCCACTTGCGTGAACATTAGACCGTCCTAGGGTTTAGTCTCAGCTTCGACGGTCGACACATCCCCACTAGTCCTGAAGAACCGGGCCTATGATCTATCCTTCGGAGTTATTTCCCATGACTGTTCTGATAGGCTCGTTGGATCCGCACCCCCTACCTTACCTCTACCTGGCAGATAGATCGATAGAGGCGCCGCGGAAAGGCAAGATGGATAGATAGGGGTAGATGTAGCCAGGTTGTTGATACAGTTAGTAGTCTACACTACGGTAGGTAGTAAGCTAAGTTAGCTTCCCCGAATCAAGAATATCCCCCGTCACTACGGTACAGCACCACCACCACCTTGTTTTATGATCAATCTTGGATATCCCATTTTGTCTTTCACATGCGATTTTCTTGGGGCTTTGCCGCCTAGTGAGGGTCTGGAACGTTGTTTGATGTCGATTGGGGGGGTGATCAATAGGTTGATCAATAGGTTGGATTAGTGGATAGGTGGTAGATATGTGTAGATCGTGAGCGAGATACATAAACAATAGAACATTAGACAAATCGGAGGCGGGGGTGAGATGTCATGCCGGGACGGGGAATGGGGAATGGGCGAGAGCATATCGCATAGTATCTCGGTATAAGGTTCGATCGGGAGAGGCGCTCGCCACGGGTGGGTGTGTTCCCACGATGGGCTTGTGGCGCTGGCTGGCATTAGTTATTGTCCTTCGGTTATTGAAACATGACATCTCTACCAGAATTCCCCGAGGGGGTGGGAAGGAGGGAGGGTGGACATCTGACAGCCGACAACTGACAACTGACAACTGACAACTGACGGGACGGGACCCCGGGCTTAGTGCTGGGCTTCTATACATCGTGGGAAGTGGAACAGTAAGTGATGTGGTGCGGTGTGGTGTGGTCAATTCCTAATTAACTAACCAACTGAGTCT